AGCTGGGCCAGGGCAGGACCGGGGCAGCCGAGGGGGTGCAGGTGCACCGGTGTGCTCCCGGAGAACGAAAGGGAAAAGCTGCGGTGTCTGTCCCCGGGGTTACTGCTGGTTGTAGCCCTGTGCTGCGCTTCTGTCACAACATTTAATTCAACTGAGAGAGGTGGGTTTATTACCCTTCTCATGCAGGGCCCAGGCAGTAACTTTAGCCATAATAAATTATAGCATTTAAAGGTGGTCTTCCTTAAACCATTCTTCTGTCAGCTTCTGCGGTGAAATTGTTACGGGATCTATCTGTGATGCTTGCAAGGTCTGCATTAACTTTGATTGCCTTAGTCGTAAGAAACAATAATTTGTCTGCTATTTGCTCTGTTTTCTTCAGTAAACATGAAGGTCATCACTTGTGAAATAGCATGGCATAATAAGGAGCCTGTTTACAGTTTAGACTTCCAGCGTGGACCTGATGGGAAGATCAATCGACTGGCCTCAGCTGGAGTGGACACAGCTGTTCGGGTAGGTTTCTGACCTGTTTGTTTTGGTTTTGTAGCATGTGCAGAGTGTGAAATGGCCTGTTGTCCCAGGTATGAGATTATCAGCTGGTACGTGACACCAGTGGCGGATGGTTTTGGGAAAGAGCATGAAGATTGTACAGCTGTATACAGAATGACTGTTCCCCTCGCAAACTGTCCTCGACTGCTGCTGACTGTTGAACTTTTATTTTTGGAAAATTACCTGCATTGACTGCTGGGTGATAATCCTGAGTAGTAAGTGCTAATTTAGAGCACAGTCTTGTGGGTTAGTGAGAAACAACTGATTTAATTTCTTTATGTTCATCAAAGTTGAACTTTATCTGCTGTTTTACATGTAGTCACTTGGCAGTATGAGATCTTTTTACAGACCTTTTCTGCTCAGCTTCAGGTGCAGCTCTCCTAAGTAATTTTGTGTTGGTGTTAGGAACCTTTGGTCATCAGTTGCTCATTCTTTTGAGACTCACTTATGAAAATGTTGAATAGCACAAGCCCCAAAAGATGTGGCTGTAAGATTTACCTTTGTAAAATCAGGCACTTGTTTACTGTCTTCCATATCTTCAATGCATGTGAGGACTGTCCCCATCATTCTCTTGGTTTCTCTAAAAGCCTCAGCCCTCATTGGAAACCTTGGGGAAACTGAGGGCACTGGGTGAACCACATTCTTTTTATCTGCATGTTAGTCAACTCCTTAAAATCGATGGACAAGTGAGGCACAATTTCCTTTGCAGAGAGATACATTGACTCAATTTTTTAATTTATTTTTCTTTTAACAGCTTCTCTGTATAGAAGGTAGACATAGTGGTCGGAGTCTTTTGGGTCACCATTAGAGCACTTGTGAAAAAAATGACACATTTGCATCCTCTGTTTTTTGGAGCTGAGAACGAAACAGAGCAGGTCACCCATCACTGCTGGGCTGTTCATTTCATGTTTGAGTTCCTGTAGGTTGCCTCTGTCTCAGGGTCTGGTGATTTCCTCTGAAAAATTGGTTTTGTCTGTTTACTAAAATCTCTACTGCTAACCTTTCAGTTTGAGACAGTTCCCCAAACTCATCCTGCAGTAAAGAAGGGTTCCAACGTGGGACCCTCCCTGTGCTCCTTAGTAATGAGCTCCAGGGCAAAGAATTCATGTAGGTTTTTTGCTATGCATGTAATTGTCTGTCTTTGCATTGTAATTTTGCATTTTAATTATCTTTTGGGCCTGCTTATGTTCTGTCAGGCTTCCATCCTGTGATATATTTGCAAAATAATAAAAAATGTTGTCGTAAGGTCTCACTACATGTGGAATAGACGCAGGCAGAGAACAAGGTTTTCTTTTTTATTACTGCCACATTTTCTTGTGAATAGGGAAATGCTCTGTTTTAGAAGAGAATTTGAGTTGTAAGGTCAGATCTGTACTTACAATCTGGAATGCCTGGATTTGATCCAGATTTGTTCCTCAGGATCCTCGGTGCAGTATTTTGTGAAATATGTCGATATTTATTAATGTATTTATTAGCAAATTATTATGAATGGCAACTGCTGCAATATGTGCATGATTGGAATGTCTCTTTCTTTTGGAGATGATAAGTGTCATTAAAAATGAGGGGTTTACTCCAGTAACTGCAGCCTAAACTTTCCCATTCATTACTGGCAAATTGACTTCTTACCTGACAGTGTATGCATTTCAGGGATTTTGGCTGTATGTATAGGTTACTCAATGTATGTTTAAGTCATATTTATAAATATACATGTTTTAAGGACAGAAATATTTTTGTGTTCTTTGACATAAAGTTACTGCTGCTACATCTTCTTTTGGAGGACATAAGGAGGGAAAGCTGGCAGAATTACAGAGGTCTTTATTCAGGGTGCTTGCTTCATTGTTTGGTATATTCCTATCAAGGCCTGGTTGTTGGGGTTTTTTGGTTTGTTTTTTTGGTGTTGGGTTTTTTCTGAACTGAATTGCATCCAAGAGCAGATTGTTTGAAACACCTAATGGGATTTAACTATCTGTGGCCTTAGTCCAACGATACAGGGACAGAACAGTGGGGACGTAAGTGTTGCTTTCGTGGCTGAACTGGTTCATAAGTAGGAGTAGCATCGTTATGTCCTGCAAAATGGAAAACAAGTGGGATCGGGAATTCCTTAAGCCAGCATTGCTGGATAAGTGTCCATATCATGCAACTGTATTAGTGCTTTGGTTGTGATCAGCGGGGAACTGGAATTGTATTTCTTGCTCATATAATCTGTTTGAAGCCAGTAAATCCATTGACCTTTGGGGTATACTGCAAAACTCTTCAATGTCTTCAGGCTTCTGAAGAGAGCTAATATGTTTTATTTTTTCCTGTAGTAATTGGGTTTTTTTCAGACTGTTAGTATTTGTGGTTGATGGATTTGTTAACAAGATACTGTAATTCCATACTTTTGAATTATTGTATTTATAAACTTGCAAATCCCATTGAAGCTGGAGGTTGTCAATGAATGGAAGAGAGAATGATGCGATGTGTTTGTTTGGGTTTTTTTAATTTATTAGAAATACTCAGTAATATATTTCATCAGACTAAAAAAAATACTGCAGTATAATTGCAGCTTGTGCTGGGTTAACTTTGTATAGCCACTAGGTGCCCACCAAGCCACTCTATCACTCCCCCTCCTCAACAGGACAGGGAGAAGATGCGTTGGAAAAGCTCATGGGTCAAGATGAGGACAGGGAGATCACTTACTAATTACTGTCATGGCAAACAGACTCAACTTAGGGAAATTAATTTAATTTATTACCAATTAATAACAGAGTAAGATAGTGAGAAAAGAACAAAGCTACCCCACACCCCTCCCTCCCAGGCTCAACTTCACTCCTGACTCTTCTACTTCCTACCCCCAAGTGGTGCAGGGGGACGGGGGATTGTGGTCAGTTCATCACATGTTGTCTCTGCCACTCCTTATTCATCACACTCTTCCCTTGCTCCAGCATGGGGTCCCCCCTACAGGAGACAGTCCTCCACGAACATTCTCCAACATGAATCCTTCCCATGGGCCACAGTTCTTCATGAACCACTCCAGTGTGGGTCCCTTCCGCAGGGTGCAGTCCTTCAGGAACAGACTGCTCCAGCATAGGTCCCCGGCAAGGTCACAAGTCCTACTAGCAAACCTGCTCCAGCATAGACTCCTCTTCACAGGCCACAGCTCCTTCCAGAAGCCTGTTCCAGCATGGGCTTTCCACAGGCTGCAGCTTCCTTCAGGGCACATCCACCTGCTGTGGTGTGGGGTCCTCCACGAGCTGCAGGTGGACAACCTGTGTCACCATGATCTTCTCCACAAGCTGCAGGGGAATGTCTGCTCCAGCACCTGAAGCACCTCCTCCCCTCCTTTTTCACTGACCTTTGTGACTGCAGGGGTGTTACTCTGGCATTTTTCTTTCTGTTCTCTCACAGCTGCTGCGCAGTGTTTTTTTTACCGTTTCTTAAATATGTTGTCACAGAGGCACCACCAGTGTCATTGATGGGCTGAGCTTTGGCCAGTGGTAGGATAGTCTTGGAGCTGGCTGGAACTGCCTCTGTCCAACACAGAATCCTAGAGTGGTTTCGGTTGGAAGGGACCTCAAAGATCATCCGTTTCTAACCCCCCTGCCATGGGCAGGGACACCCTCCACTAGACCAGCTAGCCCAAAGCTTCATCCAGCCTGGCCTTAAACACTTCCAGGAAGGGGGCAGCCACAACCTCTCCGGGCAACCTGTTCCAGTGCCTCACCACCTTCGCAGTAAAGAATTTCTTCCTAATACCTAATCTAAACCTACCCTCCTTCAGCTTAAACCCATTACCCCTTGTCCTGTCACTCCATGCCCTCGTAAACAGTCCCTCTCCAGCTTTTCTGTAGGCCCACTTTAGGTACTAGAAGGCTGTTACAAGGTCTCCCTGGAGCTTCTCTTCTCCAGGCTGAACAACCCCAACTCTCTCAGCTTGTCCTCACAGGAGAGGTGCTCCAGCCCTCTCGTCATCTTCATGGCCCTCCTCTGGACTCGCTCCAACAGCTCAATGTCCTTCTTACATTGGGGACCCCAGAACTGGACACAGTACTCCAGGTGGGGTCTCATGAGAGCAGAGTAGAGGAGGAGAATCACCTCCCTTGAAGCTTCTTTTGATGCAGCCCAGGACACGGTTGGCTTTCTGGGCTGCAGGCACACGCTACCAACTCATGTTGAGCTTTTCGTCCACTGACACCCCCAGGTCTTTCTCCTCAGGGCTGCTCTCAATCCATTCTCCACCCAGCCTATAGTTGTGCTTGGGATTGTTGAACTGAACTTGCGCTTGGCGTTGTTGAACTGAAAACTGTCTGTAATGCTTTTGTAACTAGATATGGAAAGTGGAAAAAGGACCAGATGGAAAAGCAATTGTGGAATTCTTGTCCAACCTCACCCGCCATACCAAAGCAGTAAATGTTGTGCGCTTCTCTCCAAGTGGTGAGATCCTAGCATCTGGTGGAGATGGTGAGTAATGAAGCTAATATAAAAAAACCTATGTTTATGCATGTGGTGAGTGAAGGGGTAAAAAAACCCAAACTCAACATAGGAACTTGTTCATACCCCTCTAACACTTCCAGCTTTAGACTCACATATGCCTTGCCATTATAATTAGTAAATGCATGTGAGGAAGTTCCTAAGTTACTGCTTCTCACTGGCTGGGTGTCTGAAAGGCTCTGTTTTCCAGAGGTAAAGTAATTGCTATCCCCATTTCCCAGATGGGGAGGTTGAATGGGTTACCTAGCATCATACTGGAAGGCTGTGGCAGAATTTGTAAATTTAGGCCTGTCTGTCCAGGGCCATGTGGGTTTTTCAGTCACAGTAAGGACAGCATTAGACAGGCGTGTGCTCTGTGAGACAGAACGAAGTGTTACCTTAGTGGAAGATTTTTAAAAAGCCCAAAGCGCAGAACCATAGCCAGCTCTAATCAAAAGCAGATTGAAAGTTAAGTACTTAACTCTCATCTAACACCTGGAAATCTTAATCTTTTTTTTTTTTTTTAATAATTAAATAATAATAATAAAAAAAGACATTGATTAAAATCAGTAGCTCACACTGGAAGCTAAAGCAGTCTAGCACCTACTCCTCCCCACCACAACATAAGAACTGCTTTTCATGTGTCTTATGCGAGATAATTGTAGTGTTGAACTAAATGCAATGCATTAACGAAACAGTGAGTGGGGAAGAAACTTTATACTATTTCTCCTACAGATGCTGTTATTTTATTGTGGAAGCTGAATGATAGCAAAGAATCAGAACCATTAGTTTTTCAGGATGAAGATGAAGCTCAGCTCAACAAGGAGAACTGGACAGTTGTTAAAACTTTAAGGTAGCTTAATATTTTATGAGTTTGTTTTCTGTCCAGTGTTTTTAATTCCCCAGTGACTTTTATCATTTGGTACAGTCTTCTGTTCAGTGTAACTTGAACGTCCATGCTCTCTAAAATTTGCTTGCTCTAATATTCATCCTTTTATTGTCTTTAATGTTTTGTTGGTGGGGTTGGTTTTTTTTTAATACAGTGCCAACCTACATCTTCTGTTAAGGCAGAAGATTTAGCATTTATGTGGCATAACTGATGTACTCTGAAATTGGTTCCTGAGATTTGCAGTCACTTAAAGCTTAGCATAGAGATACATAAAGTCAATGTGAAGTTTTATTTACTACCTTTATAGTGGAAATTTTGATCATTGTTAGAGCAGAAAAGCGTCAGTAGATTAAACAATTCGTGCGGTTTTGCCCGATGATAGCTATGAGGCTCGACCAATCTTTTTCAACTAGTTCACTTCAGTAGTTGAAAATCTACTGTATTACACAGCTTTTGTTTCAAGTGTACAATGACTAATAAAATATATGCTGTGCCTGCTAAGACTAAGTAACTATTAGCTGACAGTGGCTAAGGTATCAAACCACTGCTGGCAGTTGGAATAAAACATTGTTCTGTTCTCGCTCTCAGTTCAAGTCTGAAAGAAATTAGTGGTTCTGGACTCTGAAATGCATTTTGGACGATCAATATATGTAACTCTGCCTTACTTTCTGTGTAGTGTCTGTTAAAAGTTTTAGTCTTTGTGTGTCTATACTAATAAAATCATTAAGAATTTACATTTGTTTACAAAAACTAAATAACTGCTATCCTTAACTGATACATTCCTTGCAACTGCCGAGGTTTATGTGAGAACAGTTTCAAAACTGCTAATGGGATTGCATGAAGAACCAGTGTGATTCTTTAGGAACATTAGAGTTAATCTCTTAAAGCAAACAAACAAACTTAATCCCCCTTCCCTAAACTTGGTGTTGCAAATATTTATTATTAAATTTACGATACTATATGATAAGTCTTCGAACAACAAGCACTACAAATTGTTTTTGATGGAGCCCTTCTAGGTGGTTATAAGTATCTTGCAATGTTTGTTCTACTGTATGTAAATCAACCTTAATTTTCTGTGTTTCATGTGGTTCTGCTGAGTGTGCATGTTTGTTTACTGCTTTTATGAAACCCATAAATATGCAAAAAACTTTTCTTGAATAGCAACATTTCCTAATTACTTTGGTGTAGTGTTTTACTTTCTGTTAGTACAAATCCTAGAAATGTTCATTTGCAGATCTCTAGGTACAAATTCATAAGTTACTTCAAACGCTGGGTTGGCATTGTCTGTGAAAAAAGACCTGTTGAAAAGGCAGGCTTATTTTGAGTTAGAAGTAGGATGTGCTTTTTTAAAACGTTCTACTACCTTCTGAATATGGAAGTTTTTTTAAAAGCTGAAACTCATGCTGTTCATTTTACTTCAATGATACTTTATTTGCCTTTGAGTATTTTAATTTTTTTTTTTTAACCTAAAAATGCACGAAACTCATGTTTACAAGTAGCTTTTAATTTTTAAATTACTAATTGATTTCCTCTCTTCTGGCTTCTAGAGGTCACTTAGAAGATGTGTATGATATTTGTTGGACCTCAGATGGAAATTACATGGCATCTGCTTCTGTAGATAACACAGCTATAATGTGGGATGTCAGTAAAGGTAAATGTTATGTTTATCAACTGCGGCTTCAGTCCTGATGGAAGTGTCTTATGGTATTTACCAGAAGAGTTGAAAGCATCTTTTTTTTGTGAGAGAACAGTCCACTTAATTGCTAGACTTCTGGGATAGTGAGGCCCAGCATATAAAGATAACCCTCAGGCCAGCAAAATTTACACTTTAGTCTCTTGACCTCGGAGTATTCAGGCAGTAAACTTCGCATAATTTTTTTCCCCCAAACTCCTACATAAGCATCTTGTATATTACTTATTCCACCTCATGCCCCAACAAACAAAACTTGACTGGTATCAGGTAAGTAACTACCTAGGTCAAAAACAAGAAGTGAGTATAGCATGCAGGCTCTGTTTTGCAAGACATGACACTTTTTTTAGGCTCCATTCAGCAAAACACTTCCATTCATGTTCATCTCACTGCAGTGGGATTGCTTGTATTCGCCAAGAAAGGCCCATCTGTAGGAGTTCTGGCAGTACCCAGCTAGGTTAGGTTGCTTTACAATGGCTTGAATTTTTTTTTGTTAGCAGTGTAATCATTACTTTCACTTACAATTTAATGTGGAAGTACTTAACTTTCTCTAAAGTTAACCCATTATCTCACATTTCTAATATTTAGTGTCTAATTAAGAGTCCAGGTTAATTTTTCAGTGCGTGCACATATGAAAATTCAAATGTTCTGTTGCTGACTTTTTTTGTGTTCTTGGTTTGGGTCTCTCTCGTCCAAACTGTCACATATACTCCTTTCCGAAAGTCTTTACCATAAATGCATGAATGTTCAATTAAGAATGTGTGTACTCAAAGCATAAATATGTGTAGGGGGCATTGTGACCAAACATCTCCTGCATCTCAGGCTGCTTCTAATAACTTTAAAGGGAGTTATCTATTAGAATTATTACTAAAAAAAGCCAGATGGCCTCTTAAGCTGGTATGTTACTTATATGTAATGTCTTCCATTCTCACTGCTTTCTTTTAGCATGCATTTAATACTGTGGAGGACATTTGGTCTCTAGGGAGAGAGACAACTAGTAAGTTGGAAGTAAGAAGCCATTACTGGGAAATGTCGGTTTTGTGATTAAAGTTGTAGATACATTGAAGGAAGGAATTTCAGGGATAGCTTCCAGTAATACCCAGCTTAAAAGCTTGCATGGTTTAAAAAAATAAATGGTGGGAAGAAAATTAATAGTAAAAATCCATAGGGCTTTTTACTACAAAGAGTGCATCACAATAGGGAGTCCTTGAGGTACAAACTGTTGGCAGCTTATAGGGTATCCTGTAGAAATACCATTACGTGTTTGGTCTGTTGGTATACTCTGGCATCTGTTGTTGGGCACTGAGACCGAACATTGCAACAGAAGGACTTTTGGTATTATGCAACGTGGCCTCAACCCTGTTCGTGTAATCTTTTTGAAGAGCCATTGTCTTTGAAACTTGTCAGCTTATAGTATTTCTTTGCAATAAACCAACCCTATACTAAAAGAAAAAAAAGCACCCTGTCCCTAGTATTCAAAACAAAGTATTTAATGAGATTATCTGTAACTTTACCTCATCATGATGCTTTGGACCTGAGACATTCGGTTGTGGAACATCAGTGGGGTCAGAGAGCTGATGCCTTTGGGAGATCTTTGTGTCAGAGTAAGTTGTTGAAGAACATGAGTTAGCACTGCTGTAGAATTGTTTCTGAAAGCTGCCCATGTGTAAGTGTCAGTCAGCATGTGTGCAGTATATTTTTTTTCACTGTCTGCTCAGCAGAGTAGGTGAGTTTATACAGCCCTAGATAAGAGAGCCTGACTATCTGGCCCCAGCTGAAAGTTATGTTTTAACACTGGAATTTCTGGCTCAGTATTCAGCCAAATTTAGTTAGCTGTTGAACAGCTAGACTTGCCTGAAAAAAATTTTCTAAGTCACAAAGGTTTTGAAATACTTCTGGTTTTGGAATACACTCATCTTGCATGTTTAATGCCTAAGCCAAGCTCCTTATCCGAGTTAGTTTGTAGGGAACAAGCCCTAAGTTGGCATGTCAGAATTTACTGCACTTGTGAAGACTTTAGAAACAAAGCAACGATTTCTGATATTCTTATCAAGTTAACAGTTTGTGTGTTTAAAAAAATATTTTGAAACATTTTGTCTTGTTCTATTTCTGAAATGAGGAAATGTTTTAAAACACATTTGAATTTAGAATCTTGAAACTGTTTGTAATTTCAGGACAGAAGGTTTCAATATTAAATGAACATAAGAGTTACGTCCAAGGAATAACCTGGGATCCTCTAGGCCAGTACATTGCCACTCTGAGTTGTGATAGGTGAGCTGTTGGTCTAAGTGTTTTGCCTTAATGTTCTTTCTTACTTGAGGATGAATTAAAAGCAAGTATATGGGATAAACATGACTTTTCTTTTAATTTTATGCTTTAATTAATCTTTTGCTTGTGGTAAATGACTCCTGAAGTCTATGAGTATCCTCTCTAAGCAGCAAATAAGGTTTCATAAAATTGTGTAGAAATTTTTCTTCAGGAAATAAGTTTTCATGGTATTGGTTATTAGAGATACTAAGTACATCTTAGGAGAGCACTGCATTCTCTGATTGTTAATGAGCTAGTAAGTTCATCCTTGTCATTTGACAGAAAAGCGTGAACAGATGAAGAAATCAGTTAAAAAGTTTTTCCACTGATATCTTTCTTTTGCCCTCTTGCTCCCTCCCTCGCCAACAGTTTTGTAAGTGATGTCATTGGGAAAATAAAACACACACTTCATAAACTTGGCCCTTGTCAGAACTTTGAGTTGAGCTTAAACTGTTTAGGGCATGTGTGCTGCTCTGAAGGGTTTTGCAGTTGGCTAATAAATGCATGTCATCTGGCACCCGCTGCAAAGAAAATTGCTGTAATAGTGGAAAAGTAGTTTTGATTTAAGATTTGTAGCAGGCTCAGAAAAATGACAAGTTAATGGTGACTAGATCATTATGAGCCTCTGTCTTCTGATAATCAGTTATGTGAGATTTTTCTGCCTTTAAAATGAACAGCAGTGAAACAGAAGTAATGGAATGATGCACAAGTTTATCTCAGAGTGAAGTCGCAAGCAAGGCCATGAGCTAACCTGAAGAGGGGAGATCTCCCACCCCCTCAGGTTTCAGACACTTTTCTGAATAGCATCAGCTCAGCGGGGGTCTAACAGGAGCCAGGCCAGTTGCCACTGGCAACTCAACTGAGCACTCGTCAGCCCGGGGTGGGGAGACCCCTTCCCCCTTTTGGCAGAGCAGCTTAGCTGTGTGACACCCAGAGCCAGTAGTTCTGTAACTGTCTCAAGCTGTCTGCCACAGCCTCGCCTTCTATGTTCTCTTGCTAGCTCTGTCCAGGACTCTTTGTGGAGCTGTTTCAGCACATTAAATTAGCAGAAAGCTGTCTGGGTTTTTTTATGTTAGGTTGGTTTTCTGCCAGCCTAACGAACCAACATAACTCAGTGAAGGTCAGAACTGGCAGAAAGGAGAGGGTGGTGGGACGAGCAGTTGGATTTGCTTAGGCTAGTTTTAGTGAGATGAAGTCAGGGGAGTTCAAACGTTCTGTACAGAGACGTACTCCAGTTTTCATTTATTCCAAAGGAAACTGAAGCATAGAGGTGTAGCTAATTGTCTTTGAGTTGAGCTCCCACTCCACGGGAACATAATGGCTACTACAGCAAAGGTAGGAATGGCATGGCCATTCACTGTCCACTCATTCCATCATTCCTCCACGAATGCTTATTCTGATACTTCACAAACCTTACCGAGTCAAATAGTTGCCAATGATGCATTGGTTATTTAGCCATCAAAACATGTGCAACTGGTGGTCTCTCATGAACAGAGTTATAATTCACGTGTGATTGTCATTTATATTTGGCAGTCCTGACTGGGAAGTGAGGTGCTGTAGCACTGTGTGAAACTTGGGGTGAAAGGAAGCTGTTCATAGCTAACTGTGCTCCCCACCATGTAGGGTCCTGCGGGTATACAACACACAAACCAAGCGTGTAGCATTCAATGTTACCAAGATGCCATCCGGATCAGGAGCTGAAGGAGAGGTACGTTGTTCTGTTACTAATGATACTGGAGAATGTGCTGGGTGCTATTTTATATGAGTTGTTCTATGCTATTCTGTGCAACCAAAAGGGTAAGTATTTTCCATCGAAGTAATCCATATATCAAGTATTTTTGTCTCTCTCTTACCTTTGCATTTTGTAAATAGAGACTGCTTCAGGTTTCCTCAAACATTACAGAAATTACTAAGAAAGAACACTTGCAAGTTCAGCTGATTAAAGTAGTAACACCATGTCTTTGGTTGTAAATGTTAAAAATAGTGTGGAAAAATTAGTATGCATAGTGAATTCTTAATAGGAAAAACTTCAAATGTGACTGTCGGTAGCTCTAAGTTTATTAGTGGGTATGATATAGCAATAATATTTTAAAGTCAACAGCCTGAAATTTTCAAAAAGGTAATTGATTTTTAGGAAAAATATGTATTCGTGAAAATTTAGGAAAATCTCTCTAACCCTAAGAGGGGAAAACAAAGAGCTTTTTCCCCCAAAACAGTTCTAAGTGATAGTAAAATAACACCTCCAAGCTGGCTATAACCTTTTTAATTCCTTCTATTAATTTTCTTTTTTTGTGAAAACATTCATAACAGTTTTATAGACACTAAAGAACAGGCTTGGGAGAGGATGTTTTGCCATTATAGAAGTTCTCTTTAAACCTCTAATACTAGAGTTAAAATTAAATGCCTAAGGAACAGGCTTTTACGTTGACTGTTAAATAATGTTGTTCTCCAGGTTATGACTATTTTTTTTGATTACTGGTCTAATGTGACTGCTCTTAGAGAATTTTGATTAGTAGCTGAAGAGGGATCAAGGACTATTTTTCTTAGCTGTGAAGAATTTATAGCACGGGAGAAAGTGAGTTTGAAGGAGCCGTGGTTTTTAAAACATTTATCTTTTATTTTAAAAATTCCATCAGGTTGGATTGTACAACTGAATGGTTTTTCTCACTTGAAGGCCAGCTGACGTGTTCTTGGCACTTTATACAATCATATTTTCAATGTTACAGGCTAGGAGCTATCGGATGTTTCATGATGACAGCATGAAGTCATTTTTCCGCAGGCTCAGTTTTACTCCTGATGGCTCCTATTTACTCACTCCAGGTATGTGAGAACATGTACTGTAACTTCCATTGTATTTATAATGCTGTAGTTTGAATGTGCATCAAGATTGCCTTCAGACTGCTAGGGGATGCTTATTTATCTTAATTATGCCATTCCGCATTGTTCCTGTTGAAGAAAATAGAGACTCCACAATACTCTTCCGTTAGCAGTCCAGAACATCAACTTTATCCTGTGATAAAAATAATATCTATGGCATTTTTCTGAACCGAAGCATGTAAACTGCAACAATACAGCTCTGTTAAAATAAAAATGAAGACTAATAAGTGGTTCTTTTGACTGGTCACTCTTTGTTTGTATCCTTTCTTAAGAACGTTCTGCAGTTATAGTAAAAAAAACATTGCAAGGAGGGGATCAGTTTGCCCATATAAGCACTGCTTTTATAGATGTCTGGCAACATCAAAAAGGAGCTTTTAGGGGAAGTGTATAAAGGAAACAAAACCAGCACTAAATAAATATTTGGGATGCCTTTTAAAGTTGTGTTCAGGTTGCACAGCTCTTGCCCAACTGACAAGCCTAATTCCCAAGCAGAATGTTTATGGACATAAAGTGTGTACTCAGTACCTTTTTGAGCTGATGAGTAATGTTTTAACCTTTATTTTTGCAGCTGGCTGTGTTGAATCAGGAGAAAATGTAACAAACACCACGTATGTTTTCTCCAGAAACAATCTTAAAAGGTAAGGTTTAATAAGATCAAAATATCTTTTTATTAAAAAAAAAAAACCAAACAAACGTGAAATGCTGTTTTCTGTAATACTGATTCTTTATAAAAGGCCCGTGGGTCACCTGCCATGTCCTGGAAAGGCAACTCTTGCTGTTCGCTGCTGCCCAGTCTACTTTGAGTTGAGACGAGCATTTAATAAAGGTACTGTAAATCCTTCAGGGAGTATGATTTTACAGCAAATATGTGAAAAGGCCAGTGTGGCTGTTTACTGTTTTATGCCTCAGCCTTTTAACATTCTGTTAAGATAGTTTTGTACCACATCTTAGAAGCTGTTTCCTGATTCTAAGACCATGAATTCACCTTAAGTACCTTGTGAGTAGCTTTTGATATAGTGGATAAATGTTCTTACTTGGGTTCTTAGACTACAGAAACATGGTTTAATATTTTTCTTTAACTTTTCACCATTTTGTGTGAGTAAAAGTCAATAACTTGGCTTAGCACTGAAGGAGCGACCGAATGAAATATTTTCTGTTAATCTCAACTACCCACATCACAGAAGCACCAGAGAGTTGGTGTAGTTTGCAACAACCATTTATGTTTATTCAAGAAAGCCAAACCTGAAGCAGTGCTGGTGTTACTGGCCAGAACAGGAGTTCTGAGTTGAAGAAAGGATTGTATGAAGTTGCATGAGAACTTACCTGGAGATTGAAATCCAGCTTTATTGTGAGCCCAGTGGGTCCAGGAGTGTTTATATTTTAAGAAGAGCAGTCTTACTCTGGTGAAAAGGCAGAGCTTTGCTCCATTTTCAGAGGGTCAGTTTGTAGTATTGCTTACAGGATTTAGAGATTACCTGTTGTTGTGTTCTGTATTTTCATCATAATCTTTAAATCCCTTGAAATGATGTGTTGCAAAGTAAGGAGATGAGTGTCTGCTCTTGGTCTTCGTAGCTCCTCTAAACAGAGTGTTCAGTTTCTGCAACATACACCCAGAAAAGTGAAAATCTATGGTAGTCTAGAAATCTGTAGATGTGAGTACCTTACATTATGTTAATGTTAACAGCCTGTTTCAGTGCATAGCTTCCATAAGCATCATAGAGAATGGGAGCTCTATATACTAGGAATTTCTGAAAGCAGCTAGCTAGCACTCAGCTTCCAGTGGAAGTTGGAATAATTTGGCCTTACAGAGAACTAATGTTGCGTGGAAAAGACTGGCTTGGAGCTGAACCCAAGATAACACAAATAGAGCTAAATCCGTTGTTTTGACTGAGTCATACAGAATATAACTCTGAATATACAAATAGGCAGAAATTTATCATGACCTTGATTTACATTATACCCTAAGGTGTGTGTGTTTGGACCTTTATACTAAAGCGCATATAAATATGCGGAAAAATTTCAATTGGAAAAAGTATGACAAACTTTACAAAGCAAAATAATAGCGATCCAGATGGACGAAACTTCTGCCAATATCTTTGTCTTAAGCTAAGACAATAGAGGACAAACTTCAGGCGACAGAAATGTTAGTGCTTGACATTAAACTTTACATTTTTTAGAATTGCTATCTTCTCAGCTGTTATCTTGATACTGATTAAAAATGAAATCTTTATTTAGATTCACAACTAAGCTAGTGCAGTTGCTATCTTGTAATGAATACAAGAGAGAATTCTCAATGTGTTAATTTCTTTGCATTCTAGATGAAATCAGTCAGAAATCAGCTCCTGCTCTCTTTAATATGCCCTATCGATTGGTGTTTGCTGTTGCTTCAGAAGATTCTGTGCTTTTTTATGATACTGAGCAGTCCTTCCCCTTTGGTTACGTGTCTAACATACATTATCACACCCTGAGTGACATTTCGTGGTAGGTAATTATTATATTGTTAAGATTTGTTGTGATGGAAATGTCCTTTTTATATGTTGAAGTTCTGCACGTCTTGTGTCTTGCTTTATTTTTATGTTTTGTTCATGACACATGCGGTCACTGTCATTGCAGTGTCTGAACAGCAAGCAGCCTCTATTTTGCCCTGTAAACGGGAGAATTATGGTTCTTTTACTGGTTGGGAACCAAGGTGCAAGCACCTTGAGGACAAGCAGATGGATATTTTTATGAAAGCTAATGTCCTGGGTGCCCATGAAAAGTATTCATTGTTCAGGCAGTATAACTAGTAATAATGAAGTTATTTGGAAGCTTTGGAAGTCATCTCTCTGAGTTCAGGTGTCTGTATCCTGGCCAAATTCTGCTTTATCTGTGCAATTCTGCTTAGTGGTTCTTCATGTATGGGACTAAGTAATTTATCTGACTTGATGTGGGGAGTCAGAACTGGAGCTGCAAACTGAACCCAAGTCTTGAAGTCAGGACAGACCGCTCTGCTGGACAGGGCTTCTTCTCTCGTGCCTTTCTAGCCAGTATACCTAGGCTGAGGACTACATGGAGGCATCTTTTTCAGAACTGTTAATTGATGCTCAGACACTGTGAAAACCATTGTGTGCCAGGAGGAAAAGAGTGGAAAAGAGTAGAAAATCAAGTAGTTTTAATCAGTGATAGATATTACTTGGTGAAATGAGCATGGAGGGCCCATTCAGGTGAGCACCACAGTGATTCTGAGCATTTCCTCTACTTAACACAAGGAGTGCAGCCAAAGAGCTTGAACTGCTCTGCTGGTCTGAATGAGAAGAGTTCAGCAATGTTTCAGAAACTGTAGCTGAAGATTTGTGTACCTGCAATTGAACCATACTTTGTGCCAGCTCAAACATATGCAGGTGCTGGCAGCAGCATATTACAGGTGATCACAGACACTACCAGAAAGATTAAATCAGATGCCAGAATTGAAGATCTTTTGTTCATTTGAATTGGATGTCTTTCACTTGACTGCAGTTTTATTTAAATGTATACATGTACTTGGGGAAGGGAGGGGAAAAAGACAAGTACAGCATGCGTTATGGATGGGGGAGAGACGGTTGAAAAGTTCTAAACTTTACTCTTGTTGGAAAAAAATAATCACAAATAGGTCCAGCGATGGAGCCTTTCTTGCTATTTCTTCCATGGATGGATACTGTTCGTTTGTTACCTTTGAGAAGGATGAACTGGGGATACCACTGAAGGAGAAGCCACAGATAAGTGTCAGGACTTCAGGTGCAACAGAGAAGAAAGTGAAAAAAAGCCAGTCACACAAAGTCATTTCCCCAGGCTCTCGGCTGACAGAGGGGACTCCTCCCGGCAGGGTCACTGATCCCAGCACTCCAACCCTGCAGCCTAGAACACCCACAGCTGCCAGTAAGGACTTGCCTTCCACACCTGTTGGCATAAAAAATGTTCCAGTCTCATCCTCAGATGAGAGGAAAATCAGCCAACCAGCCAGCCAGAGCACTAAAGTAAGCCAGCCCAGGAGGATTACTCTCAACACTTTACAAGCATGGAGCAAGACGCCAAGGTGAGATTTATATTGCCGTTTCCAGTCATAAATATGAAGGCCAAGACAAGCTGTGCTTGTGCTACATTTAAAGGGTTGAGGTTTAGACGTAAATTCCCAGCCTTGTGTCTTGGTGGTAGCTGTCTTGACATGGAACTTTTTGTTCCAGGTGTACTGCAAGTGAAAGGTCAAAGTGTCTCCTGAATTCTAAATGTACAGCTTTTGTATTTCTGTCTGAAATGTGAGACAGTAGCAAAGTTAACCTGACCTTGTCCATATGGCAGCAACAGGTGTCTGACTTCAAGTCTCATTTTCTGTACAAGGATGGATGGTACCCGAAGCTTTCAGCGGACAAGAACTACTTAAAGATTCTTGTGACAAGAAGTATTTTAAGAAAAATGCAAGTCTAGGTAGACCCTCAGTGTGCATAGTTGTGGGTGTGGGACTTAATGTGTTGATTGAGGTTTTTTCCTAAGGTGAAGATCTGGGTTTTTAGAAATCCATGTAATCCATGTATTGATTGTCATATTGTGTCAAACGGCCTGCAATATAAGAGCCTGAGCTGTTGTGCAATGGGAAGGAGACAGCCATGCAATTATGAGATCTAGACCTTGTCAGCAAAACAAGGCTATTGTAGAATTAAAGGAGATTATTATAACTTCTCATAGGAGTATTTTAATTAGTAGGTAGCTAGGGAGGAAGTGGGGAACGAGAAAGCAAGATAGTGGATTTCATCAACAACCACAAAGAAAAATCTTGGAGGTGATGGCTTTCTATGCACCGATCTTCATATGTACTGGAACTAACAAGTGAAAGGGTTGTAGGTATTTGCGGCTTACCAGTATCTGAAGGGGACCTACAGGAAAGCTGGAGAGGGACTGTTTATCAGGGAGTGTAGTGACAGGACAAGGGGTAATGGGTTTAAGCTGAAGGAAGGTCAATTTAGATTAGGTGTTAGAAAGAAATTCTTTACTGTGAGGGTGGTGAGGCACTGGAACAGGTTGCCCAGAGAGGTTGTGAAGGCCCCATCCCTGGCAGTGTTCAAGGCCAGGCTGGATGGGGCTTTGGGCAACGTGGTCTAGTGGAGGGTGTCCCTGCCCATGGCAGGGGGGTTGGGACTAGATGATCTTTGAGGTCCCTTCCAACCCAAACCATTCTGTGATTCTGTGATTCTATTTGAAAGTGACTTTTGCCTGGAGGGTGCGGTGACTGATGGAGCTAATTAATCCTTTTATTTTTGAGAGAGACTATATTTAATTATATCAACTGATTATGCCATGACTGTCATCTTGTAATAGCATGCATGGTGCTACTTGTAAGACTTTTTTTTTTTTTTAAATGGTTCAGTCCTCTGCTGCTTTAGTGCTTAATTTTTAAGTACCACCCAGAAGAAATTTAGCAGAAGAAAATAGATTTACAGTAATTGTTAGTGGACCTCAGCAGGCTAAAGACTTCCCTAGATTTTTATGAATCTAAAGTGTTAACATGGACAGGGCTAGGGAATAGTAAGTGCAGCCAGTCTTAATTTTAAAATATTTGACTACGCTCTGAAGGTGAATATGAAGCATTGTGACACATAAAACGTATGTAAAAGTACTTACTAGTGGGATTTAAAGTACTGCTAAAAAATGCTCTATTCAACGTGTAACAAGAAGGAAAAATGCATAATAAAATATGTCTAAACTACATTTAAATATAACTGATTCTATCTGAAGTAAATCTTTAACTAAAGTTTTTGTGGAATTGATGGGTTTAAAGCAATTGAACTGTTTCTGGTCTTTTAAAGGAGAATAAACTTGATTCCACGGAAGCCAGATACGCCAACCTCTGCATATACAGATACGGTTCCTATATCTCCTTCCTCAGAACAGGAACATGGTAAGCTTTTGTGGTTATTAATATCCTGCAAAGTCTTTTGCCAGTCAGCTCGTTCCATTAGAGACTTCTGTTGTAAGCTATAAACTTATAATACAAGCACAAACCTAAACCTAGTTGCAGATTCTAAAGCTTCATTGTCTTGGTGTGTTTGAAAGGTGCTTTTGACAATATGAAATGTATTCTCACTGCAGTTGCTCTTGGGCAGCTGCTTATGTGGCAATGTATCACTACAGTTTTTATAATAATGGGTGCATTAGCTTAGCTGACACTGAAACCAAGAAGAGTAAATTCACTTGAATGTAATGTTCTCCAGGTCCTACAGGTGAGTTTTAAAGACCCTTGCACTTTCAGCACGTTGTTCTTTGAAATGCTGGACTCTCTCAAACCAGGGTTGGTTGGTTGGGGGTTTTTTTGGTGAGTGCTGCATTGGTTGTGAATTCAGCAAAGTAATTTATTTTTCTTAATCTGGATTTACTTATCTTAAATGTTTTTCCTCTCTGCCTGTTTCAGAGAGGCCATTACCATCTGATGACAGTCTTCAAAATCCCCCAGCTTGGAAACGTCCTAGAACTGAGGAAGTGCCTCTTTCCACATCTGCTGAAGATCAGACCGGCTGTGATTCAAACAAATAAAGGCTGAGCTTTTAGTAGACTCTTCACAGTCTGAAGGCGATGTAGCCATATCTGAGAGTGCATTTCTTTTTGCAAATGTTAAATCCTCAATTCCTGATTAAAGTACCGTGTGCATATTTGATGTAGTGCTGTGAAGAAAGAAACTGGCGGTAGAAGACACAGGTTTCAGGAACATAGCTTTGCAAAAGAGAAAATAGTTGGGAAGTGACTTCTAAGTGTGTTTCTACTTCTTGAAGACAGCATTCTTCAAGAAAAGCCAAGCTTAAGGAAATTGGGGAAATCTGGGTACTGAAAAGCCATACAGTAACCTAAGAGTCTCCACTGAAGTCCCTAAGGTGACGTTTATAAAGTATTATGTCTTCCAGTAACCTGTCTGGCAAAAGAGTAGAATTTCTGTGGACTTAAATGCATTCATAATGATTAGATGTGGTTTAAGCCCCGCCTC